GTCAAACGTAGACGTTGAAATACGTTTTTCAATATGTTTTACAATAAATTATTAGCCTATCAACCTATCATTCTAGATGAATCAAATTACAGGCACACGCTGCATGAGAAAGTGGATGGGCTGAGGTTGAGGTAATCGACGCCTTGAGGTCTCAAAATCCTAGGAAAATATCCTGAAGCGCCGACATTGACAAGAAGTTGACATCATGAACTAGACCTCCACCTTCACGTGTAACACAACTCTTGTTGAACATAGACGCAAATTGCGACAACCGTACAAGGAAAAATCGATGAAGGGGTTCTCCGCTTAGCCCCATGCCACTGTGGTAAATTTGATATGAAGATCGGTGGTAAATTTGATATGAAGATCGGCGAATGGCGCAGGGATGTGGATTCTGCGTCCAGAATCCATATTAGTGACTTGTAACAGCCACCTCGTTGGACTGCCGCTGTTGCAAGTCAGGCAGTCCCCCTGCGTGTCGATTGGAGTTGTGTAAACTTAGATAGAAACTGCATTTGACTAGCAGTTTGCAGACACACACACAATGGATATCAATATCAATATGATATCAATATATTCACAATGTATAGATTGATTTAAGGCAACATCCTCCGGTCTAAGGACTTGAAAATACGCGAAATCACCTCCAATAACACGAGATGAAGCGATCAAGTTGAACAAATGTTTGACAGAATGTTTAACTGAATGAAGCGGAGTGAAGTGAGTATGAAGCATGATGCACAGGACCCATCAACAGTACAGAACCAATGGGAGGTTTCAGATGAATGCAAAGGATTTTTGAGGGAAATGTTGGTAGCCCACAAAATAAAAAATGCTAGCTTACATCCAAGTTCGCAATATCTTGAAACCAACATTTCGAAAAATTCTCTTGAAAAGGATCCAATATGATATGAGTACCTTAGATATATATATACATAATTATACATATGCATATACTCATGATATAATTGTAATGCGATGTAAGATGATATACATATAGACCATATAGATGGTGTGATTTAAACAGCAATAGATTGCAAGAAGACAGACTGATACTTTACCATAGCGGCAGATCTTGGGCACAGCACTGGCCAGGTGCTATTGGCCACCCCCCTAGCCCTGCGGAAGACGGTATGGTTTGGCATTGGGCTGGAAGTTCCCTGGCGACACGGATACAGCAGACACGATGTGTCATGTGTCATGATGTGCCACGATGTGTCAGGCATTACACAGTCAAACCACTCAAGCCAGTCATGCGCGCGGATATTTGTGAATATTTGAGAACTTGAGAACGTATGTGATGACACCTTGTGTGGCCGCGTTTTTGGCAAGATACTGGATGAGTGAACAAACGTCAATCTTTGTTGTGAAGTCTTTGTGCCAAGGTCATTGGGTGCAGACTTTGTATCATGGAGACATGCCCTACAACTGCTACGCGGGATTGGCCAATTGGCGTGCCGGGTGGTCCCAGCCCAAGAAGGATACCAGGGAAGCCGGACGGGAAATTGGGCGAATTTGGGAATCGATTCCAGGAGGATTCCCGAGTTCAAGAAGGATTTCCAGATCGATCGTATGTGACAGACTTTTTGCAGTCTTTTATGTGAGGTCTCCAGCTAGCTGGATTTTGATGCATTTTGATAGTTGATAGTAGCTTCAAGGCGAGCCCAAATAGTGCGGAGTTCCCAAATGACCTTGTTGGGATAGCATGTTCAGGACTTGCTTGGGCATGCTTGGGCAAGCACATGAAATCACTACTGACACTACTTCTTTGTATTCTACTGTTGATGCTCAATCTCAACGGTTGGCATGTGATCAGATGCAATATCCTGACACTTACTGTAATAAAGTGATCTGGCACATCCAGACAGTGTCGTTCACAAAACTCGAATCACTTCTCATTGATACCTTCCAAGAAAGCGAGTCAGTTTCGCTCTGAGTCGCATGCTTTTTGAACGTGTCATTAGTTTTTGTGGTGTTTATTTGAAACTCTTGACCTGTTCGTTTGAACTGCCATTGAAGGATGGTTCTATGCGGGACACTGGTTCTTTGGGTTGTTTTCTGGCTTGTTCTGGAATTTCGAGTACGCGACACCAATCCACTCGCCACCATAAAAAATCATATTATGACAATGAGAATCACCATCTTAGTTGCAGCTCAGAGGGGCTGTCCAAGCTTTGGCTTAGACATGCTTAGACTGAGTATATAATTTCCGAGTCCTCGTACCAGCACGTGACTTCTAACTTTGCAGGACTGGTGCTGCCACAATGTGGGGAACTCTTGCGGCTGAGGGTCAAAGGACCCTTTCTGCATCGATCCCATTCCATTTGCGCAGACATGCGCAGATTGTAGATCTTTCCAGGCTTGGCCATTTGATATCCCAGAGATCCCTGTCAAAGGTCAAGCAGAATTCAGGATATTTCAGGGATGCACGATGATGCAAATTAGAACGCAGTCTTCTTGCATAGGTGGCCCAGCCAAACAAGTACAATTTGTGACCAACACATCTTGATCCCACATGATGTGGGGCATGTTTCTGCATTTCTTTTCGCAAGCATGACGTTTCACAACTGGCAATGTCGCCATGCCCAGGCACAGGGATGGAGTAGATATGGCAGGGAGACGAATGAAAGGTGAAATATGGTGAAACTGCATATTGATGCTATTAATTAGGAGCTAGGGCCTACAACATTCTATAACAATCTATAACTATCTATATTTTGTATTTGTTGCTAGTTCATGGTAGCTCTTTTGGGGCGGCTTGGGCACGCACCACGGCAGCATTTGCATGATGTAGGTTGTTAGGCTCTTAGGTACCTAGCATTCTCCCAGACCACAAGTCCTAGCCGGTCCTAGCCCATGTGCTGGTGCCAGTTGGGCGGCATCTGCCTGAGCAAAGCTCAGTTGGTTCAAAGATTATCTGACTGAGCGGATGGGACGCCGGCATATTGAAGCGGCCTTGAGATCTGATTTTGCGGCCTGATTTTATGATATTTTATTCATCAGCGAGTTGCCTTTGTGTTTATGATTGCATAAACAGCAAACCCAAAGCAGTGAAACAGGTTGAAATTCGGGCGAAACATGGACGGTGCGACGGTGAGCTAAATCACTTGGTCCCGGAATGTCCCGGACTTCGCCGACTTCACCCGACACCCGGTTCCGGAATTTGAGGCAAAGATGGCACCAGGAGCAAAAAGATCGCGGAACGACAAACGTCCCACGGAACGCTGACGGAGATGTGGAATGTGAAATAAGATAAATAAGGAATAAAAATAAGAAGCAAGTGAAATATGTGGAATCGTGTGATCCCCACCATGACATTTATACATTTTCTTACTGGCAAATCTTCTGGCATTCTATCTGACATATCTTCTGACATTCTATTTGACATTCTATCTGACATATCTTCTGGCATATGATCTGGCATATCTGGCATCTGGCATTCTATCTGGCAAATCTTCTGGCATTCTATCTGGCATTCTATCTGGCATATCTTCTGGCATATTATCTGGCATTCTATCTGGCATATCTTCTGGCATATCTTCTGGCATATCTTCTGACATTCTTTCTGACATTCTTTCTAACTTTCTTCTGCACATTCTTTGTCCCATATCTTCCTACATGAGGTCCGGCAGGGAACACTTGGCGTGGATACTCGCGGTTGAGGTCCGGCAGGGAACACTGGGCGTGGATGGTCGTGGTTGAGGTCCGGCAGGGAACACTGGGCGGGATGGTCGTGGTTGAGGTCCGGCAGGGAACACTGGGCGTGGATGGTCGTGGTTGAGGTCCGGCAGGGAACACTGGGCGTGGATGGTCGTGGTTGAGGTCCGGCAGAGAACACTGTGGATCGCGGGTCGCAGTTGAGCAAGGACGACGAGGACGACGAGGAGGACGAGGAGGAGGAGGAGGAGAGGAGGAGGAGGAGGAGAAGGAGGAGAAGGAGGAGGAGGAGGAGGCAACTGACATAAAATCTAACATTCCTCACCTGGCAGGTGGGGAATAAGAAGCAAGTGGAATATGTGGAATAATTTTGGGAGTTTCTGATGCCTACAGGCCTACATTTCAGTTGAAATTGTTGATTGTGTCAATGGAATGACCCTGAATCGTCATGCGCTCATTGATGTTCATTGATGTTCATTGTATATTTCCATCGTTTTTATCCTTAATATCAAACCATATCAAGCCATATCAAACCATATCAAACCATATTTGCACCGCATCGAGGGTGTGTCCCTGGGCTCAGCTGAGAGGGCTGTGGATTTTTGGTGCCATGGAGTGCAATTGCTATCAGCTTTGCTTGGAAGGCCGGTGACGGGTTTAGCGAATCTGGTGCTATCTCGTGCTTTTCATGACATGAAAATTGAACTATAATTTCTGAGCCCCAGGCATTGTAAAATTAGGACGAGCATGGACGAACAAGATCTGGTTTAGAGCTGGGTTTGCCACATGATCTTTTCAAAGCTGTCTTCCCTTTTCACGCGCATGTCTTCCTCTCATTTTCTCTCCGTGTTTTTGTTCTGTGCCTTTCACAAAAAACACGCTATGGCCGCCATGGATATTGAATGATATCGAATGATGATCACTGAGGTGATCCAGAGTCCGCGCAGACGACTGAGCGGTGGAAGTATGTCGGTCAAGGTCGTGGCTCCTACAACGAGCAGTCCAAGCTTGAGTACGTGGGTGAAGGCCTGTTCCAGAAAGCACATCAAGCAAATCATACAGCCACAGCAAAAAGGCAAACATGATCCACATCCTATACTGTCAGTGTTTTTGAGTGTCTGTTTTTATATGAATTTGTGTTTTCAACATATCTAAGATATATACTTGAATATTTAAAATGTTGATGACCAAACATGCACGTGTCGCTTCAGGGGAACTTTTCTCTCCAGGCAAGGGAAACATTGACTTGGAGAAGACGAAGCACCATGGCGAATTGAGGTGGCGCCCTCAACCTGCCCTAATTGTCCCGTTGATGTCGCTTGATGTCGATGCCGTCGATGCTGTTGGTGGTGACATTTTGCCTGTCGTGAATTGTCGTGACATGCTCCATGTGGTTCCAGGCTTACGATTTGCTGCATGGGAATCTGTGCAGTATCTGCACTGGCGCTGCTGGGAAGCTTGGCCTGTTGCATGAAATGCCGAAAATATCCATTCAGAAGTAGTGGAGTGCAATCTAGAGTATATTCTTACATATTCTTACATATTCTTACCATTATGGAGCTGGTTTGAAGCTCTTCAAGTCCAGAATGCTTTAGGTAAGAGCGGCGAATCTAGCGGAAGAATGCTTTTCCCTTCAAGCGCAATATGTCTTGGGTTTTCCGCGAACCGAGCTATTTGCCGGAATAAAATTCGCCCATGGATGGAAACTGTTTGTTAACCTGACTGGCGAGGATATTATTGGCAGTTTAGCACTATCACTATGTATGTGATTAGCACCATGATCATCACATTCTTGGTGCTGGCCCCTTATGGACTTCGCTATTCGCTTTTGGGTGGGGGGCAATAATCCAAACATGCTTGCCGCGGCCCAGGAGTCTTTCTGTGGCTGTACTTGAACACAGAATGGAACTCACCCATCGTTGGTGCAGCAGAGCCTTACAATTGCTCCGAGCTGCATTGGTTCATTTAAACAATTTTAAACATATTTTGATTTTATGCGAAGTTTGCAGATCATCACCTTTCTATACCTTGCTTGTCGCATTGCAGCTAGGAATTTCCGCATGGTCGTTTCTTGCGTGACCTTGTCCCAGGAGAGATTGTGCCATAGGACGGTCGATTTCAATAAAACATAGACACATATAGACACCATTGGAAAATTATTGGGCACCAATCGGCAGCAATCCTTTGCATTTTGTTCACATTTTTTTCACATCAGCCAACGTTTGCCACTATCATTAGCACTGGTACGTTTGGAGCTGTGCTTTGATGAGCCGAGGCTACGAAGGTTTCCATGATTGGCAGAACTTGTGGGGTGAAAACCAGCAACGCTATTGCTGTTCTGCTTACCAACGAGCTTGTAAAGATGAGACCGAATTTGTCGTCCACAAGGTGTATCAACCTGTCCGAGTGCCATCGGTGCCACGCGTTCACTATGTTCCAGTACCATCTCCACCGCATGTCGTGTACAAGACGAGGGTGCACTACTTGAAGCCTAAGGTCATCTACAAGAAGAGAGGAGATGTTTTCACTTATAACTGCCACGAAGGCTACCCCAATTGGTTCTTTGGATGGTCTGGGCACAAGAAGTCCTGGTGCTGTGACCACATGAATATGGGATGCCCTGGCACCTGGCATGGCAGCCACCACCTTCACAGTCATGTCTTTGCCAAAGGTGTGGGGCATGCACACGGACGAATCTACGATTGTGATGCTGGCTTCTCCAATTGGATGCAGGGCTGGTCGGGTTCCAAAAAGGACTGGTGCTGTTCGAAACGCAACAGGGGCTGCGTGAAATTCCACTGCACTTCAGGAGCTGACACTTGACTCGATACACGAATCCTAATGCATGACATATGTGCTTACCAAAGCCTTTTGATAGTTCAATGATCGAACATGTTTTTTGATTGGCTTTAGTTCTAAGGATCACGCGTGGGGTGAAGAGAAGCGATCATGGTGACACGGCGGCACTTTGCGAGGCATGGCAACAGCTCTAAACATTTCCGGCAATGCCGTCAGAACTAATGGCGACCACGTGGCAGCTTTGCAGTGAGGCATGCTCCAAGACATAAATCGACAGAAACAATTGAGAAGCATGATTAAGTATGTAATTTGGCCGATTGGCATCCCAGTTCAGGCAATTTTCTGAATAGATCTGAATAGCATAAGAAGGCCAGGGGCAACGGCCAGATGCACAGTGTGATGGAGCTTGAGGTGTTGCAGCAACTTTCAGAAGGGCTGCCCTCACACCACCCTCTCGGCCCTGAAGTGCAATACCCCGTGCACTTTAGCAGGCCAAAGACGAGGGGATGAGGGGGTCGCGGTGATTGGTGGTGATTGGTGGTGGCAGTGGCCAAAATCATCCAACGAGATGTTGGAAGTAATGGAGTAATATGAAGTAATATGAAGGCTGAAGTAATACTATGACCAGTGTGACCCGGTGGATTCTGGCTACACAACTACTCATAACTACTCAACTACGGATGGCACTACCGGAGCCAATGAGATGACGGGATATGTATGGTTGAAATATATGATTTGAACACAATACATTAGCATACATTAGTACAGTATCTAATCCAAACGATACCAATTTATCCACATCTATTTTGATAATGAAATCCAACCCAACGAAATCCCATTTCATTCCACTTTATCCCGAGCTGCTTGCAATGGAGGGTTGCAGCCTCTGATTCTCCCCCCCCAAAAAAAATCCAACCATTTCCTTAAACATTTCCGGGGCCAGTGAATTGCCAAGACTATGTTTTTCTAGACAACTACTTCGGGACCACCCGGGGTACTTACTGCTAGATCTCTCTCTCTCTATCTATCCATCCATCTAAATCAAATCAAATCAAATTTAATCTAATCTAATCTATCTGTTTATCTGTCTGTCTACCCTTCTCTTGACGCTTGTGTAAAAGTATGCGTGATATAGACGCAATATGGGAGGTGTCCCATGCAGGAGAGACATCCACGTGCCTCAAGCGCATTCAATGGGTCTCCAAAAATGCATTCAGCGGCAAGGCTTGGTTCTGGGCAGTCAGTGATGGATCATGATGGATCTATGTAGCGATATGTAGCGATCTATGGACACGAAGTAGACCAAGTTTTCGTGCTGATTTTAGAAAAGGGCAGACTCATCGCTGAAATGTGTGCAGTGCATTGCAGTGCAATTTCCATAGACCTTGGCACTTGGCATTGCGGACATTTGCGGGGATGTGGAGGATTGTGGAGGGAGCATGGGATATGCATGGGATATGCATGGGATATGCATTTTGGATCATTTTGGGAGCTGACCATCTTCGAACGCAGGGTGATGCTTGCAACTTGGCCTACAGCAAGGTGCAGGTCGAGTGTGATGTGTGTCGTGCCTGCTCTATCCAGGCCAAGCTGGATGCCGTCGGCACTTGCGTTGAAAAGACAGCCAAATAGAAGGAACATCAAGGAACGTTAAAATACGTTAAAGGAACATCAAGAAACAACGATGATTGCAAGAACATGGCAACACATGGGAATATTGGCAAAATAATTATTGGCAAACTGCAGAGGGAAGTGTTCGTGATGCTGTTCAATGCCAGTGCCACTGTGTAAGCGCTTTCATGTTTCAGATCGTTTCATACTGTTTCAGCATGAGAAAATGGATAGAATAGAAACGGCGCATGCGGGATGCATGCTGCGGATTGCTACAGTTTCACCACGTTTGTTTCAGGAAGCTGGCTGTCACGTTCACGCTGGTGGGCACGACCCATTTGATTGCAATGCTGCCTTGAATAACTTCTTCCGCGCAACTTATCAAGAATTCATGTTTCATGGTATCTGTGGCATCCATGGCATCCATGGCATTGCATCCATGCTATTTGCATCTATTTGCTATGGGAAAAATAACATTGAGAGAGACGCCACGTCGAAATCAGTCGCAGCTGAGGCATGGTCACCTTCGAAGAAGCACTGGTGCTGCACGCAGCGCGGCAAAGGCTGCGAAGGATCAAGCCCACCTGCTGTGGACGCTGGATTTGGCATGGTTTGGAAGCACGTGCAGGCGGGGAGGGTCAAGAAGGGTCGGTTCGCATTGTTTTGGCTGTTGCCATGTTGGCTTGTTGTGTCGTATTTTGAGAATGCTTCAAGGGCGAATTGGATTGCAATCACATCGCTAGAACGAACAAAGGTGAACGGCTACTGGACCTGGCAAGCTGTGCATGCTGCTGGCGGCATCCACACGAAGCTTCCGTATGATTGCCATGCCGGGCGTCACAACTGGCACATCGGCTGGTCTGCCCCCAAGAAGGCCCGGAGAGAGTCTTAGAAGATTTGGGGAAGTTTGATGAAGTTTGTACCAATGTGCTCGTCCAGATGTGGCATGCTGTGTTCCCTTTGACTTCATGAGAGGCCTGGTGCTGCAGCAATCAGCAGCTGGGCTGCGAAGGTGCAGGCTCCCGGGTTCGGTTCTCATAAGGATTTCCATGGATTTCCAGTCGTTGAAGTGGTCAGGTCCTGTTTTTGCCCCTTTGTTTGTCTCCAGGTCAATATGTCCGAGAGTTTCGTTTTGACATGCTTTCTGCACTTTCTTCTTCTTTTTTTTTGCACCTGAGATGGCGGACCCTGCTGGACTTTGATCCATGTTTTTGGTCGGCTACCTGCAGGTGGCGCTGGTGGCGCTGGTGCTGGTGGCGCTGCAGGAGGAAGCTTTCACTCTTCAAGCTGGCATTCCTCGGGAGGCAGCTTCCATTCCGGTGGCAGCTACCACACCCACGTGATCCACCACTACCATTGAGAGCATTGGGCCAGCTTGGTGCCTCGGTTGCAATGGTTGCATTTGACATCATTTGACCCATTTTCTGCGCACTGTACACTGAAACATGGAGCCACATGGAGCCACATGGAGCCACATGGAACCACTAGGCTTCTAGCTTGATTGTCAGAGGCAAGCCTAAGTTCCTCGCATAGGTGTCACGGTGGTGAAAATGGTCAGGTGAAGTACTTCCCTCAGTACTTCTGAGGCTCTGAGGCATGCTCCCAGTTGCTAGTGGCTGGATTCTGTGGCGAAAAGTTCCCGCAATATGCGGATGGCATGATCTCACCAAGTGTTGGAGAACTATGAAGAACTCATCAAGCTGTGAATGTGGTATCATTTGTTTGCAAGTCAAGTCTTAATGGTGCATGGTTGCTGATAGGTCTGGCTTTGGTGGGGAATGTCATGCTCAAAGATGCATTTTTCAAGTGCGTGCACGGAAGCAAAGAAGTTCAGGGGTTTGCGAGGCTCGGCGGCTTTGCAAAGCTACAAGGCCGACGTAACTTTTGTCGATCCCTTCGTTTGTGCAGCACCAGTGTCGGTGATGATTGCACCGTTTGCACGCGGCTTCTTAAAAGCCTTCAAGACCTTGACCATGGAAGTTTGTGTGAAATTTCTTGCTCCATTTTTCCGTGTTCCAACATGTTCTAACATGTTCTAACATCAGACCATCCAAAGGGTAATATGAGAACAAAACCAGGGAGAGAGATACCACGCGCGCACACATAATCACACACACATACTGTACAACAATGTACAACATAAATGTGTTTATAATTTCACATATATAATATATACGTACACACGCACACATACATATGATTATATATATATGCACATAATTTCACAGAATACACATAATATATATAATTATATAATTATAGAATTACCGGAGATATGTGCAACGTATCATACTGTAAGTGTGTATCCTGTCCTTGCACGCGCACATGCAGATGTATATTGTATAATATATAATTATATATATAATTATATATATTATATTGTATGCTATTGATTATATCTTTGTGGCACCCCGTTTTCTTCTTTAATTCACAGTGTTTTCAGCCCGGTTTTGAGGCCTGGAAAAAATCAAACATGAACAACTTTGCTGGGAAAAAAAGGGGTAGCACATCACACACGCACACGCACGCAAAATAAACACAGTAAACACACACTCAACATATTATAAAGAATAGGGGTGCAGCATATATATATATATATACATATATATATATATATATTCAGTTTAACAGTCCACAGTTCACAAAAGAACAAACGCATGATGCAAGAAAGTGCTGAACCTAACGATGTTGCTCATACAGGATTCGGATTTGCATCCAAACCAAAATGTGCAAAAGCAACACAAAAATAGCGTTTGGTCTGATTGTTGTTTGTAATTCGTTGAGTTTGGGGGTTTGACCAAGAAAACAGAATTATAGTTACTAGTTATGTCTATAGTTATATTTAGATGAACCTATACAATTCCAAGTGTGCAACGCAAACAACTCAGTTTTCTTCTTTTAGAAGAAAGTAAAGCCAGAAGCACGTAAGAAACCACTATGCCTTGAGTGTTTTGTTGCTCAACAACAACCCCCCAAAACAAAACACTTTCTGTTTCCAATAAGAGGTCAAAAAACAAGTACACACCTCAAGTTTGAATAAACACCAGACGTTTTCCCGCACGTTTTCTTGCGATAAAAGGCCGAAAAAACAGCGACCACAAAACTAAAACTATAGCCGTTTTGGGGACCCAATCATCACCTCAGAGACTGCAGACAATTCATGTTTACGTGTCTTTTTTCTAGCTTGCTCTGTCTCCCAAGGTGTTTGCATTCTTGTTTTTCCATGGGGAGTACACCTTGCTCTGGGCACACTTTGCTCTTTGTTCGGATAAGTTTTTGTAAGATTGCTTTTTCATGAGGTTTGCATGTTGCTTCGGTTTATTCAAGGTTGATTTCTTTAACGTGCGTAGTTTTCTGATTAGAATGAACGGTTTCTTGCAAACAAATGCACTATCCCTTTCAACAAAAGGGAAGTTCCTTTCGAAATCTGATGCATTTGTTCAAAAACGTGACGTTTTTTTTCTTCAAGAAACAATTTGATACTGAAGATACACGTGTTTCCCCGTGGGTTAGTCTCATTTTTAAGCCGTGTGCAGTAGCTTTTAAACAGATGAGTATGTACGGTGTACGTCAGCTGCGTTTAAAGGATAGCAACGGTGTCGATGTTTCTGTTGAAGGATTGCCCCCAAAGCCTGGACCAAAAAGTTTGACACCCAGGAAGTAAGAACCCCTATAGCTTGCCAGCTATTTCGGGAATAAAATGGAATAAAATGAGTAAATCCCCACTAATTATATAATAAACAAATAAACACCATGAATAAACACAAAATATAAAACTACACACATTACTAATACATAGATAGATAAATTTGCAATTACACGCACATATATCTATATATCTATATATCTATATATCTATATATCTATATATCTATACATCTATATATCTATATATTTTTTAAACATAGATTCTTGTCTATGGAGAGGGGCACTCCTTTGAGGGACACTCCTGGAACATTCCTGGAACATTCCTTTTCATTCGTTTTAATTCCAAATAATTCCATTTCATTACAAATAAATATTTCCCATTAATCCTGAATATCTGTTTGGAATCCTTTGTTTTTTTGAATTTATTGGAATGTTTTTTTTTTGGCATATATATATATTTGAAATACTGTTACATATCTGTTTTGGAATGTTGGAGTTGTTTTTATTTTTTTTATTTTTTTGGTGAAAGGATAGCAGCTGTTAGGAGTACCCCAAGGCTCTTTAATTCATATATCTAATTTATCTATCCATCCAAAATAATCACAAATGTACTGATGCTGCGGGAGGATTGGCCTATATCACATGCATTCAAGTAAATGGCATGTCGCACAGAAATATGTTCTTGGCCTACGCGCCCGCGCACACACAGCACTTTGGATCATAGTTCCAAGACAGTCTCCTTGCTCATAGCTTTACAGGTGTCTCTAGTGGACTAGGTCTCTCACCACTTTCATGTTTGCTTCTTTTGCATGTGGTGTAAATGGTTTCAGCATGACAGGAGTTTTTTTGTTTGTTTTGCAAGGTGGTCACATATGGTCACATAGTGTGAACAGGTAGGACTAGGAAGCAAAATCTGCTTCCAGCCCGAATTGGCTGAGAGTTGCACCTGACAACTTGCTCACAACTTGCACGGAATCCCGGAATTTGGCGAAAAGAGGCACGCGGTTTGGGATTTTTGCTGCGATTTCCCGGAAAGCTTTAGACATCTCCGGAAACTCTGCGTCATGGCCAAGGTCTCTACAACTGACCTCCATCATGTCCATTCATGTTCCAAATTGTTCCACATTGTTCCACCATTCCCATACCATTCCCGTAGATGTCCACTTTTCCAATTGTGTTCCCGCAGCGCTTTTGCTGGCTCCTGACACGTCTGAAGCTTTGTCCTCTTACTGTTTGGAATGGTTCAAGGCTGGGCGGCAGAAGATGTGCAAATTTTCTGTTTTGAGAGCCGAATCTGGTGGATGATGTTGCGAAAACTAGCAAAAGCCTGGTGTCGGCTAGCTGAGTTTCATTGGCAATTAGCCCGAGCCAAATTGTTCTACCCTCTGCCAGCTGGTTGGATGCACCCATTTCAAAACTGCACGATGGGAGATGGGAGCCCCGGAGCTTAATGGAGCTGGTATTGTTTCAACACTTGAAGAAGGTGGTAGTGCAAGCTTGAGCCAGCGTTGGTTTATCTCACAGAATCTCATCACTGTACAACCCAATGTGTCGGACAAAAGAGCCTGCTTGAGGGATCTTGTCTTGTTTATTTAGTTTATTATTTCTGGTCTTCAGGTTCTGATGTTTTCAGGATTATTTTTGTCTTGTCTTGAATTGTCCTGCTTTCATTCAGTCCACACCCCATGTCCTGATGTTGGGCCATTGGCATGGCATGTCACGATCCTCCGAACCTGGAATGATGTGTCATCGCTTGCAGACGGTGTGGTCACACACACTCCAGAAGCACTGGTACTCAATCGAGGTGCTTGAAAGATCTTGAAAGGGCTGGCATATTGTATGGCCTGGTGGAAGCACGACCTTCAAACATGTTGAAGTAGTTTTTGAGCACGCCGGCTGGCATGGGATGGGGTGCCACCGTAGTTTGATTAGTTTGTGTACGTTGGGTAGCACTTGTCTTCCTTGGCTCACGGTCGCAGTGTCTTACACGCAAGGTTGGAAGGTTGGTCAAATTGTGGAAGCGCTTTACCATGCGCTCACACACAGGACCTGCAGAAAGAGGAAAAGAGAAATAGAAAGAAAAAAAAAGGTGAAAGACTGAAGTGAGCGTTTCGCATCTTTTCGCAAGGTACCTTTCAAGCACTCTTGCATGAGACCGCGAGATTTGTCAGAAAGATGCCGCAATCAAATTGAACCGTTTCAGAAAGATTGCCCCGCGAGAGTTTGTACATGTGTCCTAGATGTTCGAAGTGGTCTTTGGAGTCGCTGCAACCATCTTGGAGAGAGATCTTGAAGAGACCCAGGGATCCTCTACAAATCTTGCTCAAATCGTCAAAGGTCTTGTGCCTTGTGCACAGTTCTTGCAGGATTTCTGAGAGCTGGGAAGCCGAATCTGGTGAATGATTGTCTTGTTCTGTACAGAGATCTTGCATAGGTCATGAGAGATCTTGTGTAGAAATCTTCCAGAGATTCTGCGGAAATCATGTCATGTGGAAGGGATCCTTGAGAAATCATTGTTCAAAGGGCGCCAAGAAGCATTGAATGAGCAATTAGGTCATTAGGTCGCAAAGATCTGGGAGGTTCTTGAGTAGATTTTCCAGTGATCGTATTCAGGCGTTGCAGCTTGACAGCTGGCGCCGTTGCATTCGCCCACCTGGACCTAGAAGATTCCGTTCCTGTGATTCCACGCTTCGCGGTGGCTTTCATTGCCTGTTTCCATTGAGTTGTTTCGTTGTTTCTTGTCAGCCGGGGCAGGCGGCAGTGCGCAAGGTGCCGGCCAGGGCGCTATGGCTGGAAGTGCTCAGGCGGACCTGGGATGCTACCAGGTGTGCTTCGAAGGTGCGCAGCCAAATGACAGATGGTCCACATGGATATCTGAGATCAGACACAAATGACACAATGCTGACACTCGTTTTCGCATGGTTTCGCCGCAGCGTAGCCTTGAAGCTTTGCATACTTTTTGCATCATTGCAATCGCTGGATGTTTCTTGGCCATCTGTGGTGATCTGTGGTGTGAGCTCCTCAGCGGAGCTTCAATCAGGTGACCCAGCCTCTGTCCAAACGCAAGAGCGCTGGGTCTACACTGGAGAAGGGCGCGGATCCTATTCTCAGGTGCGGGCACTCGGGGTCGGGTCCTGTCAGTTTCTGCATTTTACACCATTTTATGTCAACAAACGTTCCATGCAGCCGGCCCCGCATCTGTGTCAAGCATTTTGTGGGAAAAACGCAGCATACTCTGCATGCTTCCCTAATTATAAGTAGTCCTCTTGCAAGCGGAGCACAATACACAATGGCGCAGAGTGGGCTCATCATGAAATGACGCGACCATTCCTATCCACGTGCCCTAGCTTCTATGCTTGCTTGATGCTTCATTAAATGGATGGGTGATGATGTTTGATAGCTTGAAGATGGTGCAAAAACACAGGCAGCAGAGCCTTTGGTAAGGCAGCAAAATAGTGAAACTTGGCCAGAGAGAGAGAGAGAGGAGAGAGAGAGGAGAGAGAGAGAGAGTCATTTAATTTTAATAATCATTTATATGTACACTTACACAAGTACTCGTAGAGCCCGGGCACGCCGGGTGGGGGAAGTTTCCAAGATAGTAAGCCGTAGTAAGCGTATCAAGAAAAGGGAGAGCCCAAAGGAACGCAGCGTGCCAGGGGGTTCACAGCTGCGGCTGTGGCCTCACCGCTGATCATCTTTGGACTTCCAGAGTTTCACCGCAAAGCTTTTGACATTTGCACAGAAACATCGTAAAAATTACACACCGGAAGCTTTTACACAGAAAGCTACACAGTATGCAATGATGCAACGTAATGTATTGTGCTGTATGGTGCTATACTACACTGTAACGCACTATAGTGTAACTCAACGATATGTAATGTGAAAATTCTAGATGCATTAAAGGATGAGAGGCGGAGGGTCACATGTCCCATCATGTGAATCGAATTGACGTTTGGAAGGACATAGCATAGCATATGCCCATGATTGCCATGCAGGAGAGTTCAATTGAATACGTGGGTGCTGGCAACTTGACTATACTTGACTCAGTTCCTGGGGTAAGGGATGTAGCAACTTCAGCAACACCACGTCGGCATTGTCGCATTGCAATCCTTGCATGACCTTTGGAAGTGAAAGCAACATAAAGCAACTGAGTGCTAGTGAATTCAGCTGAGGAAAAGGAAATTTGGAGAAACAGGTGTTTGCGTCCGGGGGCAGGCCACGCGGTGGCACATGGTGGCACTACATCGCATCATTCTTAATGCCATGAACCATGATGCGCATCCATTGTTGTCGATTTTGGCCCGGGGGGCTCTAGAAATGGTTGCATTGATTAATTCATGTTTTCAAAACGGATACCACGTTTTGGAAAGATCATGTTTTAAGATGACTGTTGGGGGATGTGATCCGAAATATTCTTCACCTTTCACAGGGTTACTCCACTCAAGATGACTGGAATCTTGCAATACCTTGCAGTGCTTGCAGGTATTGCCGCTTGCAATCCGAGCAAACGGTTGTGATGGGTTGTTTTTGAGAAATTTTGAGGTCCTACCTCCCAGCCTGCATCGGATTCGCTTGTTGCCTGGCGATCTTGGTTGCTTGTGCCTCGTCGCCATCGATGAACTCTTCATGAGAACTCGCATTTGGAAAAGGAGACGAAACATGACACCTACAGAGACCCACAGAGACCAGAGATACACATTCAAAGGTCCGCAAAGTGAGTAGAAACCCCGCAAAAGCCTGCCAACACAGTCAGCATGGGAGCCGTCAGATATACAGTGTGCACCTCATGATTTCCAGTCCTCAGAAACTCTCAGATGCTATCGAACAGTCCAAAGCTCATGGAGCTGACATAATTGACATACTTTGGCCATCTTTGACCAGTTTCACCTGCTGTCTACCCATACCCTGTCCTAGGATCCTAGCCATCCCCAGCCTATCAGTCCTATCAGCCCATATTTTATATATTTTATAGCCTACCTCCCAAAGTTGACACGAGTTGACACGAGCTGACTGAGATCCACTAAGTCATGCTGGTGTGGCTTTGGCCCTCGCGAGGGTCTGATGCCGGATTTTCTCCACATAATCAGTGCTACGAAGGCTTTCATGACTGGGAGCACTTGTGGAGTGAAGAAAAGAAGGCGTATTGCTGCGACACGTACGGACGTGGATGTGTTGATCACGCTGCACAAACTGAAGTGGTCTACCACAAGGTTCCCGTGCCAGTCCATGAGCCGAGCAGGATCGTACACGTTCCTGTCCCAATGCGGCCTGAGACGCATGTGGTCTACAAGACCCACTATGTGCATTCTCCACCTGAGATTGTCTGGAAGGAGCATCATCGCTTCCACTATGACTGCCATGAAGGCTACTCCAATTGGTTCTTCGGATGGTCTGCACACAAGAAGTCCTGGTGCTGTGACCACATGACCATGGGATGCCCTGGCACTTGGCATGGCAGCTACCACCTCCACACTCATGTCTTTGCCAAAGGAGTGGGACACGCACATGGGCGAATTTATGATTGCAATGCTGGCTTCTCCAATTGGATGCAGGGCTGGTCGGGTTCCAAGAAGGACTGGTGCTGCTCGAAACACAACAAGGGCTGCGTGAAATTCCATTGCAGCTCTGGTGCTGTCCCTTGACTGCAGTGGGTTTTTAAGATTCACCAAAGCCTACTATCATGAATCATGACACATCATGACTATCATGTCACCAAGTGTATCCAAGTGGAGTTCAATGATGTTCAATGATCTTGATCCATTTCGGCAGATGTTCTGGGTCAGGCTCATATGTGGGCCGCAGAGAAACGCTCATGGTGCCCTGGCAGTGAAAGTAAACTGTAGCTGAAAGTAACCTGTCAAAATTGGTTTCAACCCCCCTGGACTCCTGGACACTTCATTTTAGCAGAAGTATGATGTGTCTCATCATGTCTCATCCCAATATATAATGATGAGACAGTGCTACGATGTGCTACGTGTCTGTCTGGGTATCTTGAGGTGCTGCAGCAACTTTCAGAAGGGCTGCCCTCATACCACCCTCTCTGCTCTGAAGTGCGATGCTATGTGCGAACATAAAGGCACAATGTACGACATTGCTGGATGGGATGAAATAAGTGACGAGCAGAACCATGGATAGTTAACCTCTGCATGCTGGTTTGGCAAACCTTCAAAGCATCTCAAAGCTGAAATATAAACTCACATTAGGCTCACAAGCACTATCGATAATGGGGCAATCATTGGAGTGATTGTTTGGGTAGATTATGATCTAGCTTGACATACACGATAATTTGCAGAAGAGATGAGATGATAGTACAACATTCTAAACAAATATTATCAAGATGCGGTGCTCCCGGCTAGATTTGCCTGATATAGAGGTAGGCCACACACACAACATAACACAACATCACACAACATCACACAACATTACACAACATCACACAACTCACACGACGTCACACAACCTTGTTTGGGCACGTGTTTAGGGCACTGTTCGTTGATTTCTCAACTGCTGTGTGTTCCCATGTGCTTACAGTTGTCGTGGTTTGTGCGTTTGCGGAATTTGCAGGAGAGAGTTCCAAGTGCGTTGACCGCATCCACTGGACGAAGAATAATGTGTTCGGATCAAAGGTGAGGGCTTGCTGGTGAAAGCCGGCCGCAGTGTGTTTGATTTGTTTGATGGCGTTTGTAGAGCCCGCAACCCTCACCCGCCAGGCAAATGCGTGCGAGTTGGCCTACAGCAAGGTGCAGGTCGAGTGTGACATTTGCCGAGCCTGCTCCATCCAGGACTCACCCATGCACCCATGCACTTAGAATCACTTGGATGCTGGTTCTTTCAAACTGGTGAGTGTCCAAAAGTGTCTCAGTATGCCCCACTTGGTGCAGGAAGCTGGCTGTGAAGTTCATGCTGCTGGCAAAGACCCATTTGACTGCCAAGCTGCCTTGAGCAACTTCTTCCGTGCACCTTATCAAGAATTCATGTTTCATGGTATCCATGGTATCCATGGCATCCGCGACGCCCATGGTATGGTTCTGATCATTTGTAATTGACAAAATTGAGAGAGACGCCACGTCGAAATCAGTCGCAGCTGAGGCATGGTCACCTTCGAAGAAGCACTGGTGCTGCACGCAGCGCGGCAAAGGCTGCGAAGGATCAAGCCCACCTGCTGTGGACGCTGGATTTGGCATGGTTTGGAAGCACGTGCAGGCGGGGAGGGTCAAGAAGGGTCGGTTCGCATTGTTTTGGCAGTTGCCATGTTGGCATGTTGGCTTGTTGTGTCGTATTTTGAGAATGCTTCAAGGGCGAATTGGATTGCAATCACATCGCTAGAACGAACAAAGGTGAACGGCTACTGGACCTGGCAAGCTGTGCATGCTGCTGGCGGCATCCACACGAAGCTTCCGTATGATTGCCATGCCGGGCGTCAGAACTGGCACATCGGCTGGTCTGCCCCCAAGAAGGCCCGGAGAGAGTCTTAGCAGATTTGGGGAAGTTTGATGAAGTTTGTACCAATGTGCTCGTCCAGATGTGGCATGCTGTGTTCCCTTTGACTTCATGAGAGGCCTGGTGCTGCAGCAATCAGCAGCTGGGCTGCGAAGGTGCAGGCTCCCGGGTTAGGATCTCATAAGGATTTCCATGGATTTCCAGTCATTGAGGTGGTCAGGTCCTGTTTTTGCCCCCTGCTGGACTTTGATCCATGTTTTTGGTCGGCTACCTGCAGGTGGCGCTGGTGGCGCTGGTGCTGGTGGCGCTGCAGGAGGAAGCTTTCACTCTTCAAGCTGGCATTCCTCGGGAGGCAGCTTCCATTCCGGTGGCAGCTTCCATTCCGGTGGCAGCTATCACACCCACGTGATCCACCACTACCATTGAGAGCATTGGGCCAGCTTGGTGCCTCGGTTGCATATATATATATATATATAATATATATATATATATATTATATGTAGTATATAATTACCGCATCATGATATTTAATATTTATGATGCATTTTGTTGCACTCGCTCAAGTTTCTGTGTTCCCATCTGCTGACGCTAGATTCGCTGCCAGGCGAGGTCAAGTTAGTTTGACGATGAAGGAGCATCAGCAAGGCAAGTGCATCGTCGCCGTGTTGTCATCGTCAGTTCAGAGTCATAGTTTCCACTGGTGCATCGTCAGGATATCTATCACGTTGAAGAGGGTTGCACATGTGATTTGACGACTCATTGCCATTCATTGCCAATGTTTCCCCCAAAGCATTTCAAATGCGATTGAAGTTTGAGTGCCTGACAGAACAGTTACTGTAGGGAGTCAAACATGTCAAATCGGAATCCGCAGGCGAAGACAGTGGCCAGCTGTAGAAAAGAGTGAGCTGAGCAGAAGGACAACTGGCCGCTGGATTTGCCGAGCATAGGCAGCATAGGATGGCAGGAGGTGGTTCAGAGAACAGCGCGCTGCCACTGACATAGACCCACAAAGATCATAAAGTTGATAGGCCATGTTAGGCCAAAGATGGCCGAAGAAAGCACCAAAACGGATCAATAAAAGGCCACCACAAGCATCATAAGCGCCCAGATGCGCCCAGGCTTTGAGGCATGAGGCATTTGCGCCGGTGATCGATCCAACATGATCCAACCATTTGACCATCTCCTGATTTTACCATCGCTCCATGTAATCCCAGAGCTCTCCTCCCGACATATGGCGACATGATGCTAAAAGGCCCTGTCGCCCAATAGGTTGCTAAGCACGTCCACGGGATCAGCTGACATCAGCTGACATCAGCTGACTTTCAAAGATAACCTAAGATGCCATCGGATGCCATGCACATGCCATGCACATGCCATGCACATGCCATGCACATGCCATGCACATGCCATGCACATGCCATGCACATGCCATGCACATGCCATGCACATGCCATGCACATGCCATGCACATGCCATGCACCATCCAGCTGACACCTTTGAAAGACTACTGTAGCGCTTCATTTCATTTTACCGTCTAAGCCTGAATTGAAGATGATGAACATTGATATTGCTTAGGAAAAAAGCGTGATGGACTTCCAAACTGTCTTAATGCCACTGCTGCATGGATCTACATCATATCAACATAGATCAACATCATGTGGAAGGCAAACTGACCCAGTGGGTCTTGAGCCGCTGCAACCTTTTTTTTTGCACTGTCGAGATTGGCGCCTTGCAACTGATCAAATTGAAGGATCCAGAAGCAGATGCTTTCATAAGATATTCAATAACTGGAGATGATAGTAACAGATAGTAACAGTAATTACATGATATTACATGATATTACATGTTATTATTCATGTTATTATATTCTGATAGCTGCTGCAGGAATCCCATTCCATTATCGTGACGCCGTTTCACAAAGGCTTCACCAGTTTGCTGTCCGCGTCCCACCAGTTTTGACTGTGTGGTGTCGTGGTCATGCCGGATCCTTCAGATGTCGGTTGAACAGTTGCACACATGACACTGTGAGTCGGCTGAAGCCGTGAGGAAAGATGTGCATAACATGTGCGTCAGAAGTGGGTGGGCCAGTGAAGTCAATACGTTCATCATGAGTCTGTTGAGGTATGTTGAGGTATGTTGGAAGGTGTTGGAAGGTGTTGGAAGGTGTTGGTTTGTTGCTGTAAGGGAAGAATGTTTGAAAAGACATGGCTGTGGACGGTGTGGACTTCCATGGCAACAGCATCTCGCTTCTGCACAGAAAGCTCAGAATATCATCGACATGTTCATATTGAATTCATATTGTTCATTTATCCAGTAAACATTAATTAATCAAATAGTCAATCTGTTTGTCCAGATTCCACTCTCTACTGTCCCGAAATCCTCGTCGCTCTTCTGGCTCACACTGACTTGATGCTCGCAGCCCTGCTTGGAGTTGCCTTGTGGGAGATCGGCTGCGTGGCCAATGAGCCAGAGAGGGCGCTCAGGTATTCAATGATGAAACGAACTGTCATGATTTGGATCAGACCATCTCAGACCTATCAGATCGCATCACCTGTTGACACCTATCAGTATTTATCACTTGTCATTACTAGCCGCTTACTAGCCTATCATCGTGATTTATGATGATCTTTATTCATCCTATCCCGCGGCAAACCTTCTCTAAGGCCCAGCCCTACCATCAAAGGCTTCTTGCAGCAAGCAGAGGCACAGCAACAGCCATTGCAGCCATTGCAGCCATTGCAGCCATTGCAGCCATTGCAGCCATTGCAGCCATTGCAGCCATTGCAGCCATTGCAGCCATTGCAGCCATTGCAGCTGCGATTTTGATCATGTTACATGACTGTTACAGACTGTTACATGTGATTTTTTTCTTTTTTCAAAGGTCTTTTTGCGCGAACTGAATTTCAATGGTTATGCGCTGCCAGGCTGGTCTAGCCCTGTTGCGCTCCAAAACAACGCCGCGCCGGGACCCGAGGGGACGGAACTTGTTCCATTGAACAGACGGGACATCGGACGGGGTTCGCACACTGACATCTCCTTTGGATGTGGCGGGAACTCTGAGGCAAGAAGTCCACGGGAGAGGACTGGCATTTAAAGCATAGCCAAGTGATGCTAAGTGATTGTTGCTACTACGTGCTACTGGCATCTACTGGCTACTATAGTCGCTGTAGATGCTAAAAGACGAAAAGTATGTATACTGCATGCTGCTAGGGACTTTGCTCGTGGTATTCGCGCTTTTTTGCGTTTGTCACTGGCGCACGTCACCAAATCCATCCCCCTAGCCCTGATTTTGAAATCGGAGCGGGGGACTCATTTTGCTGGTTGGTCCGGTAGGTTGGTCCAATCTGTTGATTTTCACTGATTTTCAACTGCCTCTCCTCTTCCTTTCCTCACCACTCCTGAGCCTCTCCTCCCCAAACCTCCAAAGATCACAAAAAATGGAAGGGCAGCGACTCACTCAAAACCAGTGGTTTTAAGCAAGGCAGTCAGTTGTGCTGTTTGGGAAGGTTTGGTGGGGAGAAGAGAGGAACTTACTGAAAAGTGGCCGGGACTCACCACACTCTATAAGTGATAGATGTGATAGGCTTCTGCAGGCACAGGTTTTGGCGTGGCTTCGGATTAAGGATGATTAAGGTTTCAGATGAAAAGCGGTGGCCGTGGCCGAAATGCACGGTTGGGACAACTAACCCCCCCTCCCCCTTAGGCCCATGGGGATCCAAATCCACTCGAACAAGGATCAGCATAAGTTGAATTACCATCAGAAACTTGGGATACGAACCATTGAATTGTGTTCACAAAAGCAGGTCTTTTCGTTTCATATTGGGACTTTGACGCAATCCTATTCAGCCTGCTAGGGCAGTGCCAGCGTCCAGGTCAGTCCTGTGCTCAGTGGACATAGATGGGAGATAGAAGCACAAGAGCCAGAAACACAGTAGCAGACGAAGCATGACGAAGCAGACCGGAAAAAAACTTGTGCTGAAAATTCAAAACATGAGCATCATGAGCAGAGATCAGCTGTCTAATATAGTTACGCGCAAACACCCTGATTCGCCCACACCCCTTTTATACCCTACCATTGGGTTGACTTTACATGCAATTAGGAAGATAATGTCCCACCCCCGTTAAACTTCTACATTCAATGGGGAAGATCAACAAGGGTATTTAGGGAATATTAAACTCCCACCCCCGTTAAACTTTACATTCAATTGGGAAGATCAACAAGGGTATTTAGGGAATATTAAACTCCCACCCCCGTTAAACTTTACATTCACGTCGGAAGATCAACAAGGGTATTTAGGGAATATTAAACTCCCACCCCCGTTAAACTTTACATTCAATTGGGAAGATCAACAAGGGTATTTAGGGAATATTAAACTCCCACCCCCGTTAAACTTTACATTCAATTGGGAAGATCAACAACGGTATTTGGGGAATATTAAACTCCCACCCCCGTTAAACTTTACATTCAATTGGGAAGATCAACCAGGGTATTAGGGAATATTAAATTTCCACCCCCGTTAAACTTTACATTTAATTGGGAAGATCAACAAGGGTTTTAGGGAATATTAAACTCCCACCCCCGTTAAACTTTACATTCACTTGGGAAGATCAACAAGGGTTTTAGGGAATATTAAATTCCCACCCCCGTTAAACTTTACATTCAATTGGGAAGATCAACAAGGGTATTAGGGAATATTAAACTCCCACCCCCGTTAAACTTTACATTCAATTGGGAAGATCAACAAGGGTTTTAGGGAATATTCAACTCCCACCCCCGTTAAACTTTACATTCAATTGGGAAGATCAACAAAGGTATTAGGGAGTATTACAGTCCCACCCCCATTAAACTGTACATTCAATTGGGAAGATCAACAAAGGTATTAGGGAATATTACAGTCCCACCCCCGTTAAACTTTACATTCAATTGGGAAGATCAACAAGGGTTTTAGGGAATATTAAACTCCCACCCCCGTTAAACTTTACATTCAATTGGGAAGATCAACCAGGGTATTAGGGAATATTAAATTTCCACCCCCGTTAAACTTTACATTTAATTGGGAAGATCAACAAGGGTTTTAGGGAATATTAAACTCCCACCCCCGTTAAACTTTACATTCACTTGGGAAGATCAACAAGGGTTTTAGGGAATATTAAATTCCCACCCCCGTTAAACTTTACATTCAATTGGGAAGATCAACAAGGGTATTTAGGGAATATTAAACTCCCACCCCCGTTAAACTTTACATTCAATGGGGAACATCAACAAGGGTATTCAGGGAATATTAAACTCCCACCCCCGTTCAACTTTACATTCAATTCGGAAGATCAACACGGGTATGTAGGGAATATTAAACTCCCACCCCCGTTAAACTTTACATTCAATTGGGAAGATCAACAAGGGTATTTAGGGAATATTAAACTCCCAC